GGAAACAAATGTTTAAAACATTTATATATAGATGTTTATTAGCTATAGGTTGATATATGTTTAGCTTCTTTCGCTACAAATTCTGTGAAGAAGAGTTTGTTAGTCATAGTATCATGTGTAAGCGAAGGATGTTTCGATTGGATTAGACATTATTCAATAAGATTAGTGTGATAGAAAATGGAGGCTTTTTTATGTTGGTGAAAATCAGTGATTCGTCAACAAAAATGTATGATTCATAAACATCTGTTCTGATTTATGTTTATCGTGTTATTTATCTATCTTTTCTCCTCACTTATTAAAATCATTCTTAATTATGCCATCTAAATCTCGAATTTGGTGTGCTCATCCTTATCATGATGAAGTTTTACCAAATGGAAAAAAATGTTTTTCAAAAGTCGGTGCAAAACCATCACATCCAAAAGGAAAAAGATTAATCAGCGAGGAACTGGCCAAATTTATCAACAACCATAACGAAGCAATTTTAAATGGATCTTCCAAGCAACTTTCAAAGGCTGATTATCTGTGTTCACCATGTTTCGTAAAAGAAAGAAATCGGTATATGATTGATGAACAAGCAGATATGGATATTGATGATAGTCAAGGAAGTTTCAACTACGACAACCTCGATAGTGGTTCAGATAATCAACAAAATTCTCCAATGGATGATGATTATGTACGCTTAGAACAAGAAGATGCTAAACTGAAATTGAATCAGGTGTTTGAGTATGTGAATGTTAAGAAGATCGACGACTTGTAAGTTCCATACTTTACAGATTAAACATAAAAAATTTGTTTTTTCATAGTCGAAATACTAAACAAATTGCCAATGCTGTAGACGAGACGTATTTCAAATTAAAAGAGTTTAGTAATATACTTTTACCACGTTCTCGTCATAATAATGAACCAAGAACATTGTCTTCACTTGATCTTTCAATTGATGATACTATTTGGATTCTTGATCGTCTACGCGAACTTTTCAGCATTAGTGACGACAACGAACAACAACGACTTATGACTATGTTACCACCGGAATGGGGTCGAGATCGGATTTCTAATTGGTTTCGTGGTTCGCAACATCATGCACGGCAGTCGATCGAATTGCGAACAACGACTGGGGATTTTTCACGCCCCGAAGATCGACGAGGAAATAAGCCACTTGATAATCAAATAGAACTGGCGGTCTATAACTTTTATATAAGTGACGAAATTAGTCGTGAAACATCGTACAAAAAGCAAGTCATCCATCCACCACCATTCAGAACTCCAGTTCCGTTACGTTTTCTTCATCTAACAATTGGAGAAACATTTGAACAATATAAAATGAAATATCCAAACATGGAAATAAGTAGATCAAAGTTTTTTTCATTACGACCAACGTGGGTGAGAGAACGAACACCTCATGAATCGTGTATGTGCATTTATCACGAGAACGCTGATCTACTTCTTCAAGCAAGTAATTCATTATGCTTTAGGATTCTATTCAGTTTCTAAATTTTAGGCTGTATCAAAATCACTCCAACAGCTTGTGACAATAAAACAATTAGTCGAAAAAACAATTTGCACATTCCCTTCTGAACATTGTTATTATCGATTATGTACTAATTGTCTTCATTTGAAAGCATCTGATATTCTATCTGATGGTATAGATGTTGAAATTCAAGATTCAGCTTCCTGGTCTATTTGGAAGAAACTTAATTCACGTTATGAACTTCTTCATTTAACTGGTACATTTCGAGCTCTTTTAGAAGAAATCGATAACCTATGGCTTAATTTTATCACACACAGTTTTTATACACGTGAACAACGTGAATATATTGCATTCATCAAAGAAAACTCTAGCATTACTACTTTTGCAGTTGTTCAGGTCGACTTTGCACAAAATTTTGTATTCGTTATACAGAGAGAAGTTCAATCTGCATATTATTCACGTCAACAAGTCACCATTTTTACCGTATATATAAAAATTGGTGAAGAACATCGCAATATGGTGATCATCTCGGACTATCTTGCACATGATACAAGATTTGTCTATTCTGGTCAGAAAATCATCATCGACTTTCTGAGAAAAGAATATCCAAATATTTCAAAAATTAATTATGTGAGTGATGGAGCATCCGCTCACTTTAAAAGTAAGTATTCGATCCTTCAAACTGGTCAAATGAAGTCTTGTTTCTTTTAGATAAATATAATATACACAATTTAGCTCATCATCATCAAGATTTTCAGATCGAAGCATCATGGACATTCAGCTCGTCAGGACATGGCAAAGGACCATGCGATGGTCTTGGTGCTGTGGTGAAATCGACGGCTACACAACACTTACTCAAAGGTGGACCAAATGCATCGTTTTCAACACCAAAACAATTTTTTGAATGGTGTCTTGAAAAAAATGATCGTATGGTGGTGGCAAGATCTCGTCGCATAGAAGCTTCAAACTGTCCATCTACTTATATGTCCGAACCTAATCGTCCTATCGAAGTGCGTTGGCTATCTGCTGATACCATCAACAATGAATTCGAAAGTCGTTTAATGCCGCGTTGGAATCTACTCTCCTCCAAAAGTATCATTTTATTACGTAAATTTTCTGTGACAGTATTAATTTTCTTTAGGTCCAATTTCTGGAATTCGTGATATTCATCAGTTCGACGCGGATAAAAATGGATCTGTCTCCTGTCGTCGCACCTCACAATCTAGCACTATGACCAACCACACATTTAAAGTCCAAACAACTGTTAAATCGACTGTAAATCAAGTACTAACATCATCCGATTGCAATAATGGAATCTTCATCATTATCAAGTATCAAAGTGCCTTTCGTCTAGCTCAAATGAACTCATCAGATCTAACCATCTCTCAAATAACAGTTACCTGTTTTGATCCTCCTTTCCCAGCTTCAATATTTAATCGCTCGAAATCACCACGTCTATGCAATTTAACTATTTCAACAGAACAGTTTCGAGCACGTCTGATCGATAATCCAGAGCAGCTGCTGAATGGTCATATTCGCATCAGTTCACAGCAGTTACTGGATATTCAAAATATCTGGGATGAAGAATGATTTTTTTTTCTTATGTTTTTTTTCATCTAATCATCATCTAGCTAATCATTTGTATAATACATCATACAAATAATATTCTTTTGACAACAGTTTTAGGGGAAGAAGATAGGCATACATCAACTTATAGCTAATAAACATCTATATATAAATGTTTTAAACATTTGTTTCC